GAGGACAATGTTATTCAAAATGATGGCTCTAGGTACCGCTGTGTTTTCACAGTACGAGAAACACACACACACACATATATATATATATTCATGAAGATTCTTCATTATTTAAGATCTTTAAATATAATATAGGGCATATTTGGTGATGAAAATCTGAAAAGTGATTCAACATTTTTGGTGATTCGACGCAAAATGCCGTTCAGAGACTAATAATCCTTCTGGTCTAACTCCCCTTTGGGCTAATAAAAAAAGCATTTGTATTTCATTTGTATTATTTTACAGAACGTATTGCAACTGTTAACTGAACTGTAAACACATTTCTTTAGTTTCGAAAATATTCCAAAAAGCAAATTATTTATTGGTGGCAAAAAGTATTTTTCATAAACCAAATGAATTTTGATTCGTAATTCTCATATACGAATATGTAATATAGCATAATTTTGCCTAAAATTGTATTATTAATTCTATGAATTTAATAGGAAAAGAAAGTCTCTGGATAAATGGCCTATAGAAAGTTTTCATTTACATGCATGGACAATGATATTTGTAGACAACATTTGCTAGCTATTATTAATAAAATGAATATGTTGATGCTCATGGGACTTTTATTTTCATGAACACATGTAGCAAAGCCAGAAGAAAAGTAAAATATGACGAGCTGAAAGGTGAATAGAATTATGGGTCATCTCATAAATAATGCGGTATTAACAAGTGAATTAAATTTGGAAGGGGTTGAGATAGACTACCTACATCAATTTGTTATGAGAGCAGGAAGTAATTTTGCTTTGTTTTTAGTTCAAGTGTTAAAGAATGCAGTGCAGTTCGATTTTAACCGTTATTATTTCAAAGGCAAATGAAAGTGACAATACAGCATATTCGCCCTTATTTTACTTTACGAGTTCATATTTAAATAATTATTAATAGAAAGATTAATGATGCGATATGGGATCGAATAATAATCGAGCTTCATCTCTGGTTCCAGAAATTCCAAACTGAAAACTATAGATTAGAAAAAACTATATACTATATTATTTACTTCTCTTTCTGGAAGATCTGTAGATTTCGACGAGGACATCCTGCATACCTTGGTGGAGCAAACTCCCGTAATAACTATTGACGAACTAAGCGGAGAATGAGAGAGAATATAGTTTAAATTAAAAACGAACTTAAAATATTTAAATTAAAAAAGGTCTTAATTTTAAAAAATGTTATTGTTTTGTCCATAAACAATGGTTGCCACAGACTCCTCCGAAGAGAGGTTGAATTTCTATTCCCCAACCCAATTTTGAGATAGAACACCCTGAGGGGGAATCCTGGGGTTTCCCACCCCACATCCCTTTCATCAATCCAAGCGATAGCACTTTCGGCTCATCGCATAATTAGAGATCCGCCATGCCTCTCCGACCCTATACATTTGCAAACATCCCTGTCTTCTCCGGGGTTCGAACTCAGGCCCTTCGGTACCGTAGTAGGATTCCCTGCAGCAATGTGAATACTGCCTGGGCGAAAATTAGGAAAAAAGATAAAGAAATATATAAAAAAAAAATCTGAATTGGTTCAGATTTTAAATTACGTCCAAAAGGGCGTTTTTTTAGCAGTTTTTGTGTTACATTTATTTACTAAATATCACGTTCTTTGCAATTAAACCATAAAATTCAGCTCAACAGCAATATCACAAGATAGTTTTAAAATGAGCATATCTTTAGAATTTCCGATACAGAGACTCACGCGCTGGAAGTAAAAATGTTTTTCTGTACAACGTTGCCATTGCTGGCTTTGAAATCCTTGAGTTTGTCAATCAAAAATTCGTTAAAGTTTTACAATATAGGAAATCGATAATAAAACAAATTTCCAATTTGGTCTTCCACATGCCCATATTCGTAGGAAGATTACGTCTTTCAAAATTCGATGGCTCTATGTGCCGTTGTTTTGTCACAATGCGAGAAACATACATACATTTATGCAGATTTTTCATTATTTAATTTCTTTAAATATAACACAGGGCGATAATATTTTATGGCAACAGTTTGAAAAGGGATTCGCCGTTTGTGGTGAATCGACGCAAAATCGCAAAACGAAAACAATAGTCCGTCAGGCTCAAAGCACCTTTGGACTAAAATTTATGTGATTTTATACGTTACATATTGAATTTGAGGAATATAATTTCTTGAACTAATATGCTGTAATACTTCTTTGGCGAAATGAAGCAACTCAAGACTGTAATACTTCTTTGGTGAAATGAAGCAACTCCAATGATGGAACACAGCAATAACTTTTATTTAACACTCAAAAAAATGGCGACATACAAACAAGAAAGAGAAAACACATTCTATTCTTTTAAAAATAAATTACATTCTTCGTGCGGGAGTCGCACGAGGCACTCGAGTCTGGTTTCAAATATTGCCATTCACAAATACCTCAATGTTCATCTAATTAAATTATTTAATCTACAAGATTTTAATATTATTTAAAGCTGTTACAATGCCTTTCTTAGTCGTTTAGCTTCAGACTGTTTCAGGATTTAAACTGAAATTGAAGTATCAGATTGTAGTTTTCTAATACTAAAATACTTATATAATTTTACTTTTTTTAATAATTTTTCAACGTTCTGACACTAACAATAAATTGTCCAAGACTAAAAATTTTCAAAGTGAATTGTTTCTCTTTGAAAACCTAGAGGAAATCTCTTTGAGAGGAAAGGGGATAAATTTTGGGGAATGGAGTACTGGTGTTCCATATTCATCCATAGCAAATTTAACTTATGAAGAAATAAGATTTGGATATGAACTGGTTGTCCGAAGATTTCTCTTCTCACAGGAAGGCGATCTACGAAGCCTTAAAAATCTACAAAGGCAGGAACATTACGAATTAAAAATAATAGCATTAAAAAGCTTTGTTCAAATAACGTGGCTCCACCAGGGGCCGAATGGTTAAGACCGTTGAATAGTAGTAGTTCGACTTGCTTTAGAACCACAAGAGAACGATCTGGCTGCATGGATGGTTTTCGTGATTTTCCCAATGTGTAACGTGAATAAAAGCAAGCTTCACTTACAAAATCCTCTACGAAGGCATCCTTCTCTCAGGAAGATAGCCTTCTTGCCTTTTCTATATTAAAACAAAAAAAAAACCTAAGGTTCAGATAAAGCTTTCAAAACTTTTGCCATTGACCTTCGAGTAGAAATTTTAATTTTGAGCCAACACATTCAGTTAAAATCAAAATTCTTTTCAGTCATACATCGGAGGAATAGTATTAAAAAATAGATGTATCACAAAAGAAACTGCTTTAGTCTATTTTCTGTTGCAATTAAACAAACGCACATAGCCCTCTTTTATATTACTTCGAAAACGTACAAGGTATAAATATCTATATTTCTTGAAGTATAAGTGTAATATCGATATGCTTTTTATATCGCATTCACATCGCTGCAAACATTTCTGAAAATATTTCAGTCAATTTGATTGCATCGTTAGTTTCGCATGTTTTTGTAAAATAGCGTATTTTTTGTTGCTTTTAGAATGCTTTTAGGGTATATTTTGTTTGTAATTGAATTTACGATTAGAGTTGTTAATCTTTCAATGCTCCTAAAGGGCTTTGGCACAAAACTTTCCAAGTTGGCAACGTTTTGCAATTTTTCGCTAACTTAGAGCTATTTTCGAAACTTCAAGAAAACACGTTTTCGAGGACCTACAACCGATTTTCTCGAAGCTTCCAGTTGACGTAGAAACTATTCTCCAACAGCACAAAGCTTATTTCCATGTCTATGAAAACGTGCATTATTTTTCTGTTTTTATGATCTTTTTACATTTTGCGATGTTTCCATTTCCTGCATCGCGTCTCTGACTACTGCCCTAGACACTGGATTGCTGTTCTAGATTTCTTTCGCTTAGAGAGACTTTGGCAATCACCGCTGACCACCAGCTTATTACTTTTCCATGTGAATGAATTACTTAATATGCTGCTTCGTGCAAATATTAAAGCCTGAGCCAAACCTTACTCAAACACTTGTTACTTAGTATTTAATACTTCGGTTTGACTGGAATATTCATTCAATGTTTTCGACAAGTAGTGATTTTTGCTTTTATGTTATTGATTACCTTGCATAACAGTCATACTAACGATTCAATAAGTAAGGCTATTTTAAGCCTTCATTTCAGTTTATTTTACTGCACATTTCAGTTTATTTTACTGTTTCATTTGAGTTTATTTAAACGTACTTTACTTTTAGAAGCAAGAGTTTGCTAATAAGTCATCTGTCCGTTTCTAGAACTTGTTATTAGAGTAGAGTGGAACCATACGAGCTAAATATGCAAATGTTTCTCTTAACAAGCTAAATATGTATATGATTCTCTTATTATTTAATTCAGTCTTTTATTGTTATTATAAATAGTTTAGACAGAATTTTGCTCTTTAATGCGTGACTGCAGAAGATGGAGTAACCTTTTTTTTTCGAATGTTTGTAAACCACAAATTGGAACTAAAATAAATGTAAGTTATTATATTTATTTGCAAAATTATGTAGACTTCTGAAGTGATAACTCACTAGAAGATAGGAGAAGAAATAAAAATAAGTAAGCCTACTAAATGTACGCTTTTGGAGTGTTCTTTGCGCCATTAAATGTGCAGTATTTCGGCAGATTTAACTATTTATGTAATATTTACTCCGTAACATTCTTTTGTATTCCTTAGTTCAGGTTCTCAAAATTATGGAGAAACTCCATCGAAATTAAAGTTATTAGAAGAATGTGGTAATATACGCTGTTTTCTTCAAATTATTTCTCCATTCCTATGCCTCGCACAGACATCAGCTAAGGAATGTGAGAAGAGTTGGAACGGAGAGAAGTGAAATTGGATTTTATGCGAAATAATTCGAAAAGTGTACTGTAAGCGTAAACTTTTATTGTAAACACCAAACCATTAACTCTCGAAATAATCGTTGCTTTTCTTGGCAATGTATTTATTTCTAAATTATCAGCGTTATTATATAATCAATGAAAATGAATTTAAAACAGACAATAAAACCAGTTTTTATTTAATAAAATGATCGATAATTTCGATCTTCAACAACAACAATTCAAATGATATCTTCAATTACAACAGAAAACATAGTTTCAGCGCAGTCTTAAGAAGTTGCAATATTCAGAAGAAAATCAAATTTAACATCCACCAACACCCTGTGTGTATTACGGTTTTGTTGATTTGTAAAAACCGTCACCAAAGGTTCATGTGTCACAATAACTTTCCCCAGTAACTTAAGAAATGTTACAGAATAACTTTTGAGAAACTCGTTTTTGAGTATTTAGTCATAAAAGACTCTAAAGTTTTGCACTTCCACTTCTGTCTTACTATACAATTAAAAATTCATTATTCCGTATTACAGACACAGTATTATCTTTAAAGTAACGCAAATTACATTACAATATTTATTAATATAGAACTTAATAAATTATAAATATTTGTAATCATCTTTAGCTATTGAAATACAATTAATTTCGGTTAGGTATTTACTTCGAAAAAATTGACTTCTTTATCTCACATTCACAAAAAGGGATGATAGGAAAATAGTGTGATAATAATTCATTTAAAATTTATTTACGTAAACAATTTTTTGCCATTAATTATGTTTACTTATAGAAATTATTTAGAAAGTATAAATTTTAAAATTCATTACTTTACATGACATAGTAAGATTCACTCATATATGCTCACAAAGATCTTGACTATCTTCATTAACAAAATATTATTTTCATATATATGTTATTGATTAAATTGAATTAACTCACATCATTTCATTTTTCAGCCTTCATTGAATTTTTAATAATGCTTCTGAGTTTCTACTTTTAATTATAAATACTATATATATATATATATATAGTCTCAAGAAAATGCATATTTTCCTTTTTATCAGAATTACCTATTGCCTGCTCAGGAAACAGAAATGAAACATTAAAAATTATTAAAAAGTTTTTGTCACTATAGTTCTCATATTGCACAATTCAGGAGTTAAGTATTTGGTTCAGAAATCATCTCTGAATACATCAATGAAGTCTTTGCTGAAATTTGCTTTAGTGCTTTCTGCATCCAGACGCCTTACAGTATTAGTGGACCACTGGTTGGACCTCTGATATCCAGTGTCAGAATTTATCTGCACATTCCTTTCATAGCCTCTTCTCTGGTTTCTGCTGAAAGAATTAGGTCCTTCAATAACTCTATCAAACCCGAAAAATTTCTCCACACCTCCACCATTGACATTTCTGTAATTTCCTCCCTGATTATCGTTTATTGGAATGGAAGGGACTTGGAAGCCTCTTCCAGCCATCAGAGCATCAATCTTTGTTTTCAGGGCTTCAACCGGCTTAGGTTCAACTGGATTCGGTAAAGGTCCTGAATGGGCGTTTGAGAATGGTCTTCCATTCGACTGAGGTTGTCTGTTGCTCCAATCATTATTCACATTAGGTGTGATGTCATCATCCCAAGTTAATCCAATGTTATTAACGCCTTGTCTCTCATTTTGATTATTTAAATTGTTCAAATGAGTACTTACGTCGTTAATAAGATTTAAAACTTTTTTCGCAGTGTCGTCATTTAAAAACTGGTTGTTTGCAGCATTGAAATTTCTTTGATTGTTAAAATTCTGAGTGTTTTGGTGATTACTTAAGGCACTGTTTACTGGTGAAGGCTGAGGATATGAGTTAATTCTTTGATTAGTAAAGGCATTAGCTCTATTTCTTTGACTGTTAAAGAAAGTTTTAGCATTATTTTGATGATTACGAAAAGGAATATTATTAGGCAACTGGCTGTTAATATTTTGGACTGGATTCCTATAACCTGTATTACCAGGAATAAAATTTCCTTGAATGTTGTTATTTGGATGATTATTTTGAAAGTTTTGCCGATTGTTAAAAGCATTAATTCTACTTCCGAATTCTCTGGTTATTTGATTATTTAAATTATTCCTTATCTGGTTAATATTGTGATCAATCTGCTGGTTAAAGTTTGCTGTGTTACGAGTATTGCCGTTATTATTATTGTTGTTGTTACCAAGTACGCTCATTACATTCCACCATTGATTATTATTATTATTATTATTATTATTATTATTATTATTATTATTATTATTATTACTATTGTGTCCCACATTTCTATTTTCTATTCCGTTTTGATGTAGGTTATTGTCTAAATTAGGAGTGACAGTTCGAAATTGTTGTCTGAAATAAGTTTGTGTTCGGTGTCCAGTGACTTCTTGGTTATTATTTAATACATTCTCCTTCCTGCGGAATCCCTCAGAATTTTCCTGATACCTAGAATTAGTATTTGTTACTGGTGGTGGATTATATGAAAATGTCTCCAGCTGCCCAACAATTCGTCCTCCTTCTGGAGTATTTCTAGAAAATGTTTGCACCCTAGAAATTCCATTATTATTGTTAATCACTGGTGGTGGCGGTGGAGGTATTTTCGGGAAATCATCTTGATTTTGGAAGGTATTTCCCAAATGATTTGCATTGAAGTCTCCAGGAAATTCTCGAGCTATGTCTGGCGAAATTGGAGGCAATAAACCTGTGGCAATATTGCGACTGGGAGGTTGCAGATTATCCTCAACAACTTTTTTAATCCCATCTAGCACCGAATTTGTGTTATAAAAGCCGCGGTTATAATTACGATTCACTGGGCCAGCGGGTAGCACTCCTTTGGTGAAGAAGCCGCGAATACTGGGGCTCGAGAATGTCTTGACAATGCTTCTGCCTTCTGGTGGTTCAATTCCTAAGTCTGGATCTTCGCCAAGAACGCTCCTTAGTATTTCTTTGGAATTTGTTGTGCCATTATGTTGAATATGGTAGGAATAAGCATATACTTTGTTGGATTCGCCACTGCTTGATTGGCCACTCGATGCTTGAATCAAGAGTGACCAAAGGAAACCCAGTAATACTGGGTGCTGTAATATATTAAAACAGAAAAATGAATAACATTTCGAAATATACCAAATATCTACGTACAACATAAAATGAACCAATAAAAGTATATTAAGATTTTAAATATTATTAAAGTTTTTTAATCTTAATGCATTTTTATGTTAAATAATAATTAGCAGAATTTGGGAGCAACCTACAGTTTGGTCAGAAACTTTATTTGAAAACAAAATACGTATTAAACAATTCTCAGTGAATATTCAACCTTTTTTGTGCAAATGTTTCCTAAATTTCTGTTTATTTGTAAGGTATTCAATCATTTAAATATCCCAAAGTTTTAGCATTTTAATATTCAGCCAAAATAATCTTTTTTCTGTCTTACAGTAGAATCCTGTGACTCTAAGATGGTTAGTTCACGGCAGAGAAAAGAGCATCGTGAAAATTTTAACAAGTCCTCTTATTTCAAAAAGTATTATTCTCGTCTATGTGATATATTAGCCTCCAGTTCAAGTGTCGTCAATTTGCAATAAAAAAAATCTGTTGATTAAACGTGGCTGTCATGTCATAATTCCTATAAATCTACACGCATATCGTATTCCAGCAGCAGAATTGTATCATTATTGTGATTTAATGTTATGTTACACATAATCAATGCCTCCTTCGTAATCGATTAACCCAGAGTTATTGAATACGTTGAATTTCGCTTAATTAAATTTGTAAACAAAATCGATCGCAACAGCTAATTATTTTTTATCTTTAGTTTTTTACTAATAAATGAATATTCTTTTCTAAAAGAAAAGCACAAAAGGTATTATTTTTAAAATTAGATCATACTTGTTCTCATAGATTTTTATTTATTTCTTCTCATAGATCTTTGTTTAAATATTTCTAAAATTAATGGTTTGAAGCCCATTTTTTCCCGGTAAAGTTATTGGTGATCTTTTCTAAATTTATTAAGCATTATTTATGCAAACAGTATTCAAGATAGAAACTCATATTTACTTTCAAAATGTAAACCTCGATTTAAAAATTATAGAATATTCTATTGTCTGTTGTTCACTGAAGTTTTGAAATCTTTCCCAATCTCACCATACTGTTTAGCAATATAATTAAAAGATAATATAAATATTAACTTATCTTATTAATGAAGTTTCTAGTCAAGTAACTTTGTAAATAAAACTTATTATCTAAAACTAGGTTTGAAATAATATTTCTAATTAAACTATAAGATGAGGACAATCGCATTACATACGATTAAAGTTTATTTTTGAATATTGCCTTTAACTTGAAAGCTTAGATACTGTTTTTAAGAATGAGCTAAGGGTGTTTCCATTGTATTTTGTCCCCTCCGCTTAATACCATAAACAAGTAAGGTATTTGTAAGGAAATATTTCTGCTAGATATAAGTAAGCCCAATGAGAATATATTGCTACTATTTACTTACTCAGATGAGATTCAGAAAAAAATTTACGGTGCATTTCCGCAGGTAAGACGCCCTTCAAATAAAAAGAGGCATGAATTTTGGTAATAGTTTTAGCATATATTTGTCCTGCAAGATGATCTTTAAACTAGCAACGCATTTAGTTTAGATCACTGATCATCATCCAGAACAAATCTTATTTCCTTGCATCTGGCAGCACTACCTATAGAATCACATGCAGAATCACGAATTCACGTGTACCTCTAACAAGTTACATTGCAAGCTATGTCGTGTGTTGAAACAATTTGTACTATAAGTGTAAATTAACATAAAATTTGTAAAGTGTGGCCGTAATCAAGAAACCAACGAAAAGAAGGAAATACGAAGCAAACTTCGAGTTCAAAGTCATAAAACAGGCTGAAGAATCGAGCAATTGGTCAGTAGCAAGGACTTCCGATATAACAGAGAAGATGGTAAAAGACTGAGAAAAAGAATGAAGATACTGTTTAAAAAATGTTGTGCTAGGAGGAGCTATTTTGCTGGCCAGATTTAGAAAATAACGTTGCAGAATGGGTACAAAAATAAAGGAAGAATTGTTATGCTGTTATAAGAAAAATGATTAGAGCTTATGCAGGTAGGTAGACACGGGCTAGTCCAGAACAATGCAAAGAATTTAAAGCAACAGCAGGCTGGTGCAGTCTTTCCATAATAGGAAAAATCTGGTAATATGACAGAAAACAAAAATTGCGCAGAAATTACCACAAAATCTTGATCATAAAGTCACGAGATTTCAAAAATAAAACTTTTCGTTATTCAATATTGGAAATATGGATGACACACCGATAAACTTCGATTTGATAAACAATAGAACGGTGGAAACAAAAAGCGTAAAAATCTGTTCAAATCAGAACAGACCATGAAACGAACAGGTTTACAACAGTATTAATATGTATGATGGAACAAAGTTAAAATCCATGGTCATTTTCAAGAGGAAAACTACTCCTAAAATAAAATTCTCTTAAAGCATTTTCGTACATTTTGATGCAAATGAGTGGATGGACGAGAATAGTGTAAACAGAAAGTGTGTGCCAGAGACGACAAGGTGCTCTACGAAATCAACATACTTTCTTAGTGTGGGATATGTTTCGCAGTCACCTAACTGAGAACACTAAAAATCGCTTAGCACGGAACAATACTAAGGTCGATTGCTGTTATATCAGGTGGTTTAATTTTGATACAACAACCTTTAGATATCTCTCTTAAAAAGCCATTCAAAGATAACACGTGTGAACAATGGAATAACCGGATGATGAGTGTCGAAAAGTCGTATACGAAAGGTGGAGCTATGCGAGCTTCATCACTTGATGTGGTCTGTGATTTCGTGATTAAATCATGGAAAGAAGTGAAAGTTGAAACAGTGAACAAATCCTTCAAAAAATGTTGAATTACTGATGCTATGGATGACATTGAGGATCATTTGTTTTCGGATACTGATTACAAAACGGAAATTGACCATAGTGTATGACATATTCTACTGTGCAGAATGGAACTCACACGACGAGCTTCTTGTCAACAAAAGGCAGGACGTACTTGAGGAGCTATTTGCTTAAGTGGTGAATGGCTATTAAATGGTGAATGTGAGGATTTTTCAGAATTTTAAATATATTGGTAAATGATTTGTTTTATTTTATAATTGTTTTAATTTATAAAAATTTCAATCTAAATTTTTTTGCGTCTGTCCTATAAGACGACCTTGGATTATGGAAGTTAATGCACATTTTTCCCAAGAAAAGAAAAAAATTAAGACCGTTTCATACAATTAAGCATACTTCCCTCATTTTCTCTTAAGTTTCCTGCAAATATTGTTAACTGTGAAATAGAAAAATCGTCCTGAAGAAATATTGAAAATCTTATTCTACTGAGTAAAATATATGCACTTATAAAAAATTGAGTTACAGCAGGGAAACTCAGAGCATGTCGTTTAATAAATTATGCTAATTATTAGAATAACTATATGTTATTCTAATAATTCTAATTATTAGAATAACTATATGTTATTCTAATAATTAGCATAATTTATTAAACGACATGCTCTGTCGTTTAATAAATGATGTGGATCAATGATGTGGATGTTAAAGGATTAATTTAACGCTCAAGACAAGCACACAACGGACAACTTAAAATTGCTTTTAAGTGAAACAGATACCTTAAATATACCCAAAATTCATCTATTGTGGCAACATTTTGCCATTTTTGTCTGAATAACTGTTTCTCACAGAGAATTCTGCTGCGCGTTCTGCTTTCCGTGATATGTCGTGGAGAAAGACGATGGATATTACGTTTTTCCGCCTTTTGAAGATTAAGATCAGCATTAAGCACTTTATTTACAGTTCACAATGAGTATTTTAATAATCTTTCTGACTTGCGAGAATTTTAAGAGGATTTTCTACTTTGATACTACAAGCTGTGAATACTGCAATCTGTACGTAAAAGACCTACACAACCATAATATGAACAGCTTCCCTGACTTTTGTTGATGTTTTACATATAGAAGCATTTTATTTTTTAAACTGAGCCTAATGTAAGACATTGTATTAAGATAGGAAAAGTAGGATTTTTAGCATTATGATATTTGCGATATTTCATATTTATTAAAATATATTTTTAAGCTGATTAAAAATGGTTTCATTAATTTACCAACTAATTATAATATCTTTTTAATATAGCATTTGAGGAAATTTTATGTTGGAAATATGTTACACGTTTCAACAGTACAATATAAAAGAATTTACGGTCTAACTGCTTTAAATTACTCATTTCTCATCATAAACATGAAAGATATGCTCGAGGAAGAAATGTTAATTTCTCAGAATGCACTACATAAACATCTTTAAAATATCTATTGTGTTCAAATAGGAATGCTTTACATTTAGAAATGTACTATTCCTTGGAACTCCATAATTATTTGGTTTGTATAACAGAAATTTATTTAAGAGGTGAACTTAGCTATTCAACAAAGTATGAGCCAGAGAATCGAAGTGTTTCTGAAAGAATTTACGCTTAGCCTGATAATGAAACCGTTCAACATCTAAAACTGTGGAACGCAATGAATTCTTTCCAACTTCCTTCTAAAAATAGCGTATCTCGAAATCACTTTAATTCATAAAACAAACTGTTGCAAACTGATTTCTGTAAATCAGGAACAGTTTAAATGATTGCGTAATTTCATAAACATATTTCTGATGAAATTTAAGCAGTGCTGAAATAACCCTTAAAAACAAAGAAATCATTCGAACCTAATCGAATAACCTCGATAATGTGGATTGCCATATTAACAATTCTGAAATTCACTTTTTAAGATATCTGTTTTGCAGAGTATTGTGCCTGGATCAAGGTCATCATTGCTATTTCACCCAAATAACCTTAAAATACGTTATTTTCCCTAAGGTTATCCGTCACGCTTAGAGTTATCTTTGATGGCTTCGTGCTGTAACAAATATAATAATCGGGAAAAGAAAGTGGCGACGATAGCTACGCATGCTTGACTAGCAAAATCGTGATTTGGTTTATAATTTTTTTTTCACTTTGATGCTTCCGTTATTCTTT